AAACCTTAAGATTAAGTAAATATATAGATCGTGTCAAGTCGATATGCATTGTGGTCACAAAGTGAGGGATATGTGTGCAAAGCACGCGGCATTACAAATTGATCCCCCATTTTGTAACCACTCTACTAAGTATGTCGGTATGCTGTTGTATCTGGGCCACACTCGCCGATGCTCCAACAACCATTAAATATGTTAAGTTCTTCTTCGAAACCTGATCTGTTTTGGTGCAGATTGGTGAATACTAATAAAAGCGTCAAGTAAACAATTTATATCTTCAAGAAAATAATCCTTTTTGAGTATTCCATTTTCGTGGCTTGAATGAACGAATCAGAAAATGTGCAAGAAAAGAATTATTATTCTTATAATATTAAAAATCATAAAACATTTTGTTTGCGTGCGTGTAATTTAAAAAAAAAAGTGGTGAAAGAGAAAATAGAACGGTTCTTGAAATAAGGAATAGTGTTTAGTTTAACTAAATTTACAAGGGCATGAAAGAAAATCCTTTTGTATCCCTGTGACTAGTCTTCGGTTTGAATGGTAGAAAACCCAATTTGCAAAGGGGAAAAGGGTTCAGCGATTGAAACAGCAGTAGCAGCAAAAGAGGAGAAAAAGAAAGAATGAGGTAGAGTAGGTCAGGAAAAGAGGACAATAAAGTACATAATGAATGACTGATAGTGGGGTTTTTTGTTTCTTTCTTAAAGAAAAAAGAAATTCAATGTAAAAGAGAGAAACGATAAAACTAGGTTTATAAATGTTTTAAAAAATCCAGGTAAAAAAAGTGAAGTTTACTGGCTGCAAATCAAAAAGGAGTATTATAATATTCCTTTGAAAGAAAAGATCCTCATAAAGGACCTTAAAAATAGTAAGTATCTAATAACTACTTTCTGTGGGAAAGCATCTCACTCATAGATTTTGATTTCGTGTCTATTCATTTTAAACGATCAAAAATCATTTTCGTTACATAAAAATAAATTCCCAGCAGCAGTCAAGTGAACTGAACATTTTATCTTGCAATGTTTGTTGGAACGAAGAGTCAAACAAAAGATAAGATTTTAAAAAATCGTCACACTACATTTTTCACACATACATTATTATACACACAAGAAATGTGCGCATAATGTTCTTAGTATTCCATTCTTGTTATTGTAAAGAAAGTGTATATACACACACACACACTACAAAGCACATACAGCGAAGTGCTTGCTTGTACGTGCAAAATAGATAATGAATCATTAAAAATGTATGTGTATATTGTGGATGTTTTAAAAAATCAGTAAAAATATGACAACTGTTTGTATTCAATACTGACAACAGTTAGACACATGGACTTGGTCAGTGTGTGTCATAACAAGTCAAATAAATCGTCATCATCATTAAATCTACAATTCACTACAACAAATGATGAGCAAAGAAAGTCAATGGTTACTTAAAAATAGCTAAATAAGTAATAATAAACATTTTAAAGAGCTTATTCCTCTTTATGCATGCATGACTTAAAATAAAAATAATGGGGAAAAAACGCAACTGTAAGAGAACCAAAGTAATGAGGCAGAGGCACAAAGCGAGAGAGAAAAAAAGTGTCAAAAAGTTGGAAATTTTCGAATGAATAGGAAACAGAAATTGAAGCATAAAAAAAACAGTCAAAATAAAATGAGAAGGAAGAGTAAATTATGAGAAATGAGAAGTAAGAAAGAAAGATGAGGATATGGGGTGGTGATGATTGGTTGTCTTACCTGGTGCCAAAAAAATGAGAGGCTCCACTATGTTTGAAGATCCACGAGTGAAAGAGAGAGAGAGCGAGACGATGAACACAGAATTCATATCATCATCATCATCATCATCATCTTGGACGTGTGGAGGATGCTTGTACACATGTACACGCACACACATTTGTACTGAGCTGTCAGGTGTATGTCGTAGAGACACACGGAGAAAAACAAACCTCGTACTTTAAACTGGCATCATTATCATGATGATACACATGTAATGTAAAAATAGGCATCTCTCTCCAGTTGCTGTATACTACTTCATCTGCGTGTATACATCTCGTTTACGGCGTACATAGAGTTCTTCTTTCTCAGATATGAAATTAGGTTGTTGGTGTGCGTAGCAGGAGTAGAATGTACACTTCTAAAACGAAATATGTCAGTTATTATTCTCTTTCTTTACAAAGAGAAGTGAATGTGTGAAATGATGCAAGAAGGCCATATGCATTTTTATTTACAGATGGCTTTTCGTGCTGTAACAGGAAAACTTTCGGTTTTTAAGGGTTTTTTTTTTAAATAAAAATGTACCCACCCATGTGTTGTATAAAAGTGCCCGTAATGTATAAGCAATCGTGTTTTAAAAGAAAATGTTTTTTCTTTCTGTGAAATGAAACTGGTTTAAAAACCCATCATTATGCAAGAAAAGTATGCAGGATACTGAAACAGATGTATTCACTTTAACAACAAAAGAGGTGTACAAGACTTGAAATTAATCAGTAACATATGACACAAATTTTGATTCAACACTCTTTTATTATTTACACAGACACCAGTTAATAGTCAACACTTAACAACGGTAACACTATCCTCGTTATTCGACATACTCGCGCGCGCACATAGAGGTCAATATCTGGTGATCGGATTTTTTTTTTTTTTTTTTTTTTTAATGCAGGTCAGCTGAATTCAGCTAAAAGCGACTGACACTAAATGACAAGCGTGTTTTCAATTGATCTTCTTATCTATGATACAAAATAACGTGCAGCTGGCACGCACGCACACACCTCAATGCATGCACATGTCATGCATGCATGTTTGCGAATTAGGGAGAACAACAGATACACGTGTGTGGCGCATTCCCAACCAGGCCAACTCAACATTTTGCCGTTTTATCATCATCATTATAATTATTATTATTATTATTCGCAACAAGCACAAAATTGTCCTTTCTCTCGCATCCCAGTTGATAATAGTAATACGAATAGAGTCATGCATATTCAATATGCAAGTGGTGTGCAATAATATATTTCCGTTTGTATTTTATTGGATTGCATCTGAAAGAAAATGAGGTCGCTAGGTAGGCAGAGAAAGATGATTAGTAAGTAGTGAAACTAAAGTGAGTAGCTACTACTTACCAACCGGTTGATTTTACACAGTGCTTTCTCAGGAGGGTTAGTTCTTAACGTACATGATTTAACAAAGAAGATCCCCCCCCCAACTCTCTTTTTTCCAGACACACCCACAGGTGTATAATAAATAAATTACGGAGTATATGCAACTGAGCAAGAAAAAAAGTCTTCACTCTTCATACACAGCTTCTGCTTATATTTTTATCCTTTTTAATTTCTTTTTTTTAGACACCGTCGTTGTAGCGAAAAGTAAAATTAATGACAAAAAATTAATAATTCGGACAACTTTTTTTGGAGTAGATAATCAGTTAACAATCTTAACGGAGTTTAATGCTGCTACGTTTTTTTTTTTTGTTTTGTTTTTTTTTTATTTATTGCTTTCAAAGACTAGTTACGTTCTAATAAGAAATAAGAAAGCGATCCCTAATAGTAGTCGTCATCGTAGTAGTAGTAGTAGTAGTATCCTTGTTCGTCATCTCTTTCCACTATTCCCTTCTTTCATTCTCATGACCTGCTTTTATCCTTAATTTTCTGCATTGAATACGTGAAAAATTCTTCGTGTTTTGTGGTGCAAGTCGCTCTAGTTTCGGAATCTACATCAACTTCAGAAGATCTGTGTATCGATAATTGAGAAAATAATCCAACCAATCTTAAATGTTACAAAAAGCATGTACTGTCAGATAATAATGCTGGGAGAGATTTTTAACATTATTCGAAAAATCAGAATTAAAATTCAAGTATGAGTGAACAAACGCGCATATAGCAATAATAATAATAAGTAACTATGAAAGCGAGCAAAATCTTATTACTTAAAAACAAAAACTAAGTAATTTAAATTCCATTAAATACATAAAAAAGAAAAACTTGCAATAAAATTGGTATGCAATATACATCCGGATACACACACGTACACACACACACACACACACATACAATTGAGTAGCGAAATCTTTGTTCTTTCGATATTTAGCAACTTAGCAAGATAGTCTTAAACATAAAATGAAAAGAATGCTTGATTTATGGATTTCTTCTGGTAACAATTATTACAAAATTAATTAATGTTTGGCTATGTATGAAATAGAAACTGAAGCGTTACTCTATTTTCCAGGTGCCCGAGAGTTTGATTTCGTAATTAAAAAATATCATTTGTAAATTTTCATCTTTCAAAAAGAATATTTATATCAATTTTACTGTTAAGTGCTTTTAAGGAAATGATATTTTACAAAACTTTTTCTTTTCTTGGAAAGAAAGAGAAGATCCTTTCAACAACTTAAAAGAAAGGGAAAAAAAGCAATTATAAAAATGCAAAAATAAAAATATCCTTACTGTCTGGGAAGAAGTATTATCCTTTTATATTCGATGATTATTTCTCGTGAAAATCCTCAGCAATTCTTTCTCTCTTCAGTTTTACGTTTTATGTTTACGTAAAAAAAAAAAAAAAAAATATTGCGTTGTTTTCTTCGAAATACTTGACTCCTTCTGTTCATAAAAATCTCACTTAAAAAAAAATCCCCCTCCGTGTGTATGCGTGAGAGGATATTTCCCTACTTTTTTTTCGTCTTTCTTTCACCTCTACTACTTTGTTTTGTTTTAAAGTCACTCCCTCTTTTTTTGTTGGCAAAAATCTTTCTCCATGAACATCAACAAAACAAAATAGCTGCAGCAAGAGGTGTTTTACAAAAGAAAAACAGAGAAGGAAATGCACAATACAAAAGAAAGTATGAATTTCTCCGGTTTTCTTTTCACTTTTTCTCAATCTTTTCTTCTTTTCCTTGTTTAAGGAATTTTTTCAAGTGATTTTCTTTTATAAGTTTTTTTTTTTTTCGTTCATAGCACAAAACAACTGTGATAGAATATTTTGGGAATTGATAAAGACTAAAAAGAGTCTATGTTCGTATCGTCCCTTTTCCCCCCACTTTTGTTCGCCTCTCACTCTTTCTTTCCTCGTTGCTTTTCTTCCTTGTTCGTTGCTTTTTTTTTCTCTCCTCACTTTCAAACCTTTTTCCACTTTTCTCTTTCTCCTCGTTATATTTCAGCACACAACACTTTCTTCGATAAACTCTTTCCGTCTTTCTTTCAGCTCGCTTGCTGCATGATCTTATTTTTTCTTTCTCTCCCTCTCGACAATTTTGAGATTTCTTCTTCTTGTCTTAGATTTTCTCTCTCCTTCAATGAATATGCGTTTTCTTCTACGACTTCTTCATCACTTCTTTCTCCTACACGTCCCCCCCCCGCTACTCTATTCTGTTCGTTCTGTCTTCCCCCCCAAAAAATGTCACTTTGACCTCCAAACGAACCAAATATTTTCTGGGGGGGAGGAGTAGAGAAAGATACGAGGCTCGTTGGCGGTCAGCAGTCAGTAGCAGAATACACATACAATAATACACGGAGGCTCAGAGCGCCGTGTGTGTGTGTGTGTGTGTGTCTAAGTGTGTATACACGCATACAAGAGCGTATTAATGCAGAATCAAATCATAGATGCGCGTGCGCGCACTACACAATACATGGAGGCTCAAAATACCATCCACCTATTAGTGTGTGAGAAATTCAATAGCACACATATACACGTGTGTTAATAAACTCAGTCAACTCAGATTAGTAGATACATTTTTAAAAAAAATGTTCAAATTAAAGAGCATCTCGTTTTCTTTTTGATTGATTCCCCACTCACATTTATTAGAACAAATTATTTTACTGTTTAAGAAGTTTTTGTAAGTTTTTTTTCTTTTAGTTACGTGACAATAAAATTGAATAGAAAATGTTCATGGAAATGCTCCATTAGTAAATTGCCTGCGCATTTAACTTCTTAACTCTTTTTGTAGTTACACAGCAAAAGCACATTTTTCGATGGTCACAATGACGAGGGTCATATCACAGATCATGGTTTGTTCAGACTCCTCTTCTCTTCGCTCATCATTTTCAAAATTAACAAATATTTATCATATAAGCAATAAGACTTAAATATTAGTTGGGTTGGGTTTATGTGTTGTTGGCTTGAGGTTTTCTTTTAAGAGCTACAGACAGATGTTCCTGTTGGCTCTTTCTACGCTGTATCCCAAAAAAGCATTACCAGCATTATTTCTCATACTGGTTTTTATGAACCTGTGGACATATGTTTGATTGTCATCAGCAGTAGTTTAAGGTTCAGTTCGTTTTTGTTGGACATGCATGTCATTCACTTTAAGTGAATGAAAATTGGAATGACAGGTTACATGCTCCTCCTCTTCCTCCTCAATTGTCACTCTGATTTATTCTTTACGTACAAAATCGCATTGCACAAACACACCCATATTGCATATTAGGAATTGTGTGTGTGTGTGTGTGTGTGTGTGTGTGTGTGTGTGTGTGTGTGTGTGACAAATATTTTCATTCTTTAAAAATCAGATTATTCCCCCTAGTTCTACATGGCACGCACGTAATAAAAAAAAATCAGAACAGCAGTTAGGTAGAAAGAACCTTTGAGTTTGGACCCTTTTCGTGCCTTTGTAAATTTAGGGTTCGCTTCTACTATACTTCCCCTTATAAAAAGTGACCCACTCTTCTCGCTTTCTCTTGTGTGGTACACAAAATAAGTTTAACAAATATTTTATAGAACAATTTCAATGAAAAATAAGAGAAAATTATATAAGTACAGACTAGTGAATAGTTTTTAAGCGATCACACACACGCACACACACACATCACGTGTGTTGACAAGTTGATACAAAGTAAAATTCCGAACGGAGGCTTCTTTTTAGTTTTTACTTTTAGCCTCTCTCTCTCTCTCTCTCTCTCTCTCTCTCTCTCTCTCTCTCTCTCTCTCTCTCAACTCTTTCCTTTCTGTTTCTACTCGTTTAATTTTGTATTGTGAATTTTGATGTTAGTGTTTAGTTTAACCCACGAATCTTTGTTCCTCATCTTTTAAAAAGAGGCTCGCATATTCTATTTTGGGGCAATTAACCACAAAAAAACTAAAAGAAATCCTTGCTCTAAGCTTTTCTCTTCACATTGCTTTCCGCTTTTGTTAAGGTAAATTTTGCCAAGAAAGACATTATGCTACACAACCACTGGTAATCCAGTACATACAGGTCCCCTACCTACTTTTTTTTTCATATAAATAGATGCGTTGTTAATTAAGACTAGAAAAGGTTCTTTCTAAGGTTTAACTGGGTGAGTGTAACTGACTATTGTGAGGAATTAAAAAAAAAAATGAAGAAAAAAAACATGCCTTAAAGATAAAAAGAAAACAAATCATAGGTGATCCACGTCCAGTTATTTATCAAGGTATTTTTTTCTTTGTGATTAAAATTGAATTGATTTGTAGATTGACTGTTTTTGTTGTTTTTTAATTTTTGGGTTGTTGTTTGTTTTTTGCGCTACTAAACATTTTAGCCTTTTTCTTTGAAACATTTTGTCAAAACAAAATAATGGACAAAAACAGGCAATGATTAAAAAAATGTCGAAATATTTTTGCTGGTTTTGTTCTCATTCCTTACCAATTTTCATCAGTTGATGTCTGGTCCCGAAGAAAATGAAAAAAATGACACTAGCTGCCTAGTATATATATATATATATATATATGTGTGTGTGTGTGTGTGTGTGTGTGTCCGTCCAATAGTTTTTCATATGTATATGAAAAGCTATTGGAGGCTATATTATAGACAGAAAGAAAGGAAGAGACGTAAAGGGGGAGGGTCTCTCCCGAAATGTAGGCTATTGTATCTGGGTCACGCTAGCCTCCATGTACTAGCACTGCTACTACCATCACTACTACTACTACTAAACGCTCAGTTCACCCAGAAACCTATACATAATGGGTGTGAATGTACACACACACACACACACACACACACACACACACACACACACACACACACACACAACGGAATGGAGTACAAATTCAACTAAAAAGTGTTTTGAATCATACAAATAAGTTTTTTTTTATCATGCATGCGAAAAAGCATACATCGTCAAATGTTCACATGAACTCTAAAATTTCCATACGGAATGTTAGTATCATCATTAAATAATTATTTCACAATAAAAAAAACATTTTTAAACATTGAATTAGTTTTTTTTTGTTTCCTAATTTCTTGATACTGAGGAATACTGACGAAATTTGTTTGAAATTTAAAAACGAATTTTAGGTTGGTATTCGAACGTACTGTTCAATTCTTAATAAATAAAAAAGTAACAATCGCGCCGGTAAATGAGTCGAATACATTTCAAATGCGTGCGTGCGTGCGCGTGTGTGTGTGTGTGTGTGTGTTTTCTTACCTGCCATAGCAGTGTGTGTACGTGGAATGGGCACTTAATCAGGTTACTAGGCCAGGAAATGAACAATGTCACAGGTTACCTGTGAATGTGCCTATAATACAGAACTGAAGGTCTTCCTCAGACACAACAACATTCATACACTCCTAGTCCTAAACTTTGAAAAAAAAAACTGACATTAAATTAATTCTGCATTTATTTGAGACGATTAAAAAAGTATCATTATCAATGTGTCCTTCACTGGGGCAATATGAGAAGCATATTTTCAGTTATTTGCCTTTGGACTGAAGGTTTGTATGCACACACAGGAGCTGTTGTTTATTTTTAACTACAATGCGTGCACATGTACTAGTAAAATCATTCGCGCACGCGCACACACGCATAGGCTACTTTCATTCACAAAAAAAAAAAAAAAAAAAAAAGATTTTTTTTCTGGGTCCACTTACCCCCACCCACCATTTTTTTTAGAAGTAAAACAAATAAATAACATGCACAAAGAAAAAAGATTCTGTTAGAAAATAATCAAAATAGAAGGAATAGAATAGAAACAGAAAATTTTGAAAATACAAAAAAGAAAAAAGCAGCATGTAGACCTTTTTTCCCGCTCTTAGTGATTTAAAAATGAATTATTTGCTCAAATGTTCACGGTTGTTCTTTGTTGAAATAAGAATTCGTGTTATTTTCACAAAATGAACAGCAGGTCTTCTCACCGCATACATTTTCTCACAGAAAGTGCATGCATGCGCAACACTCAGGTGTTTGCGTGGGGGCGGATAAAAAAAAAAAGTATACTTACTCACAGATGTGTTCTCTCTCTCTCTCTCTCTCACACACACACACACACACACACACACACACACACACACACACATTAAAACTAAATCAACAGTAAGCTACTCATGCAGTTGTCACTTACTGTAATTTGTGACTCCCAACCTTCACATTTTTGTTTGTGACTGTGTCACACCTTCAACAAGAAACACCTTTCCAATTCACAACTACAGTATCCGTCAGTGCATAGACCATGACAATAATTCACCTTGGCAGTACATTAAAGATGTGAGAGTGTGGAGTGCGTGTGTGTGTGTGTGTGTGCGCGTACACGCAAGTACCTCTTTTGTTGTACACGAGGCTCAAGCTGATTTGGGAAGTAAAAACAAAAGAATCTGGTGAAAAGGTATAAATAAATCGTTCTCAGTAGTGAATACGTGTGACCAATATCATGAAAAAGTATGTCATTTGTTCATTATTCCATCAAATGGGAGAAATCAACTCGAATGAATGCCACAATAGCTGTTTTTCATGCACAAAGCAAAAACAAAAATATCTACACAACACTCTCAACAGAAAATCAGTTGTTTTTCTATTTTCTTATCTTTTCCAATTAATGCTCTTGTGCCTATGTGCACAATATATATGCATGAAAGAGAGTGTACACACACACACAATTTTAGGAGAAAGAAACAAAAAAAAAAACTCTCTCTCTCTCTCACATACACACACACACACACACACACGTATACATGCATGTATGCATAATCACAAAGTCATAAATATTTGACAAAAAGCAGAAGTTAATTAGAGAGAGAATTTGAACGAAACCCCAAATCAAACAAGTTCTTACCATTTGTTGGTGCGTGCATCCAATATCTGAAGCAGGTTGTTTTCCTCACGCCGAACCTAAATGAGTCAATAGTAAAATCAGGTGTTTAGGGGTTAGGGTCGATATTGGCATGCGTATTGTCTCACATGTCATTGCATGTTGTGTTACATGGAATTTCATTATTAGGTCAGGTCACGTGTCTTTGGTCTTTATACATACACATCAACAGAACAGAGAGCAAGTTCGTGTGTCTAAATGTTCACAGTCCATGGTGCAATGGCAGGTGAAACGTCCAAAGTTTTCTGAATACACTCAGCACATTGGTCTGCATGCATGTGTGCAAATGCATAAAAAGCCTTTTTTCAGGTCATGTCATGTCAGGTCAGTTTCTGCGTATTTGGCACAGGCACGTAACACAGTTCATCAGTACGCAGGATGTCATCCAACCAAATCAGGTTAGGTCGTTAATTGCTCGTTAGGTTGAGTCAGTCAAGTTGGTTTGGGTCAGGTCAAACTGTTGTCATATGGTAAAATGCACAATCCAGTAAAAATGAATCACAACAACAAAATGAACAAATTGAGTAAAGAGACCCAACACTTAAACTGTGAATAGTGTTGTCAGGTTTAAAAAGTCGCACAAGTTTCCTCTCTTCTCTCTCTCTCTCTCTCTCTCTCTGCTTGCCTCTCTCTGTCTTTCAAATGTCAGTGTCAGATACTGCACATCATACAGGCATGCACAGACACTCTCTCTCTCTCTTTCTCTCACTCAACAGCTACACATAGCATAGCACAACATGGCAAACCAGTGCGTGTGCACGAGAAACAGAGTGAGAGAAAGAGAGAGAGAGAGAGAGACAGATATATAAACAAAAAGAGTGGACAAAAGAGATGCTTTCCCAATTCACTTTGGTGAAGCTTACATGGATGTCTAGCTGCTAGGTATTTTTCCCCCCCTGCTCTACTCTTTCTCTCTTACCCACTCCAAAAGAGTGATATGCCTGCTCACTGTTGCCACACACAGACAGCGGCAGAATCTGGTTGTACATTTACACAACAGCCAGCCGTTGTAGTGACAGTAGTATACCACAGATCTGCAAGTAGTGATCACAGTAGTATGAGCAGTAGTAGCACAAGAAATGCTGCAAGAGCAGGTGAAGAGGAGTACTCTATCGCAAACAGATGGAGCAGCAGTAGCAACAATAATAAGAGTAGCAGTAGCAGTTGTAGTAGAGAGGCAGTAATACAGCCCAGCACGAGTTGTGTCACGAGCAGTAGCTGTAGTAAACTAAAGAATAGTAATAGTTTGTGCCAGAAGTGGTGGTGGATGTAGTACAGTAAACAATGCTAACTTATAACTAACAATAGTAGAATCTTCAGTGATAGCATTTTAACTAAAATAAGAACCTGTAGCATAAAGCAGACATGCACTTAAAACCCGAAAGAGCACTACCCCTTCATACAGAAACATTTCTCATCCACTCTTAAAAAGTCTAAACATCATCTTATTGTGATGGGATACATGTAAGAGAATGTATTGCATATATGCAAAGAAGAGATATGATGATGAAAGCATTCTAATAAGTTCTATCTTCTCTCCAAACTAGAAAAGCAGGGAGAAAACAAACCTGCACTAACAAGCGAAAAACAATAATAGCTACAAAGTTTGTTTTTTTTTCTTTCTTTTCCTGATGACAGGGCTAAGGGTTAGAAGTAACCTACCTACCTGGACTACTGTGGATACAGCCGCAATGACTCACTATCATAGATACTAAAGCAATCAGCTAAAGATGGATCTAATTCAGCAGTGGTAAGCAAACTGCACTGGTCTCAATCTAATAGACCAGAGCCAGCAAAGGCAAAGTGACACACACACACACACACACACACACACACACACACACTGCAATATTCAGTAATGACAGTACAAGTAGTACAGCTGATGCTGATGCTCCTCCTCCTCCTGCTGCTTTTACTTGGGATTTCTTACAACTTAAAAACAAG